TTTTTTTTTTTTTTTTTGTATTGATGGTTAACCCTTTCAGCACAGGCTCAATCCCTGGAACCGACCTCGTAACCATTTTGTGCTTGTCATAGTTTTCATGCTATAACTTTTAAATTAGTAAGCGTATGTTAATGCAATTTGGCAGATTATCAGTAAACATTACAATGATTTCATAGACAAAATATAAAATTTTATTAAGTCTTAAGGTTTATTAAGCAATGTTTTTCTCATTCCTTTTTACATGTTGCCTATCCAATATGCAAAGTAATTTTCATTTTAAGATCAAAAATACTTTTAGGCAACTGAAAATTTTAAACTTCACCTGCAAAATCTTTATAATGTCCATGTAGTTATCAAATGTTTAAGAAAAAGCTTTGTATTTTATCTGTGCGGGTTTGGTAGTTAGGAAAATTCGTTCTAGAATAACAACAAATTATAAAATGAAAATACAAGGGTTTAGATTAAATAGTTTAAATCTCATAACATTATACATTTATTATATTTTTTATAATATTGACCTTTCAACTGTACCTGGCTAACAATACAGAAGTTACAGTGACACGGCACACATGCTCTCATGTTATCGTATCTAATAATATAAAATTGACCTTTAGTCTTTACAAAGTGACCTGTCTTGGCTGTGTTTTAGTAGACTAGTATTTTATATAATGTATAATTGAAATGTGACTATTTTACATGTATACAGATTATTACTATTTAGAAATAAGTTCTTAAGTTTATTTTTCTTAAGACATAGAGCAGTAACTAAAGAAGCGAAAGAAACAATTATCTCTTCTAGTTACGACCTTTGTACTCTGCTCCTGCTTGACATAGGTTGCTAAGCCTTTTAAAATTTCGCATGTGGAGGATATGAAACAAAATAAATTGTTTTGTTTTTTTGTTGTTTTTTTTTTATATGTGTAGTTGAATATCTGAAAAATCATAAATTACTATATCAATACCATAAAATTCCACTAAAATTTATCAAGCTGTATTTCAGTCTAACAAAATATGAAATTTCGAGCAGACTAAAGTCACAACCTACCTTCTTGAAATCTTGGTTCAAAAGAATGAGATGGCATCCTAACACTTTACAATAAGAAAGCCAATAGGGGGACATTCTGAGCTTTTGATTGGTTATTCACATGTCATATGTTGAAGTAAGTATATAAGGGACCATTTCCTAAAATGGAAAGAGGTGAGCAGGGCCACTGTGTTTGATTCAGTACATGAGCATTATCTCAAGAAATAGAAAAGAAACGAGGTTCTTATTTTATATTTTAGCTTGTCAATATCAGTAATTTGAGATATTATTCATACAAAACTATACTTACTTTGACATCACAAATATCTAATTTGAACCAATGTTGCATTTAACATGCCACGTGACACACAAAAATCGATGTTTAACTGTTTTTTTAATATTTACTTTTAAATAATGTATATAGTACTAAAATTTGAATTATAATCTATAATGCGATACTATACTTATTGACATAAAGTGAAGAAATAGTAGTTCAATAAACTTTTTAATGTGACTAAACAAATGTGATGACATGGCTTTTGACCTGTGACCCATCTAGAAAGGGTTAAGAAGTTTGTCAAGTTGACTGAATGAGTAAAGAGATAGGGTGGAGAAAGTAACAGACAAAATAAAGTTTTACTCAAAAAAAAAAGACCTTTGATATTTATCTAGGAGATTTAGAGATTATGCAAATGAAATTTCATAATTTTCAGATAACTAAAAGTATTTTTAATTTTAATATGAAAATCACTGTACATGGAACAGTCAACACTTTGATTCCATATATTCAGACAAATTTTTAATAAAAATATTTAATTAAAAAATCTGATTTTTTGTGTACAAAAGACATGTAATGTTTTCTCACAGCTGGTTAAAAGTTATAATATGGAAATTGATGGTCTCTTTGGGTTCATGAATGAGGTCAATCAACCAAGCCCATAGCAAAAAAATTAATACAGTTTCTTTACCAGTTCACAAAAATAAAGAAGCATAATGAAAAAAACAACAACTAAACACATGTAAAATAATGTCACACTACATCACTAGTTGCTCGTCATGGCTACAGGCCTGTATTTTCACCAGATCAAAGGAATATTATTGCTATAATTCCAATTAGAAAAACATATTCCCAATAAAACTTGAAAACTCAGAAACTTTGCTTCTTGCTGGGTATTTTCAATGAACATTTTAAATTGAATTTTCCTAATTATAAAACTTGTAAATTTAAATAAACAATAAAATGATTAATCTACTTTACACTCATTTGTTCCAAGTGTTTTGAATTAATATCAATACACTAAAATTCTTCCCCTAGTCAACCAATGCTACAAAAACATAAAATCATGTCAATCTTTTTAAATTATATTACAGCAATGAGTATAGGCATTTGAAACAATTGAAACACTTTTTTCTATTTGTTACATTTGCAGGTTTTTTATTTTTGCACATGCACTATTTATTTCAACTTTACACTTTGTGTTAACTTGCACATCAAATTAACAACATATTTTTAAAGGGCTACAACATACATTTTCTGCAAGAATATTCAATGGCAATGTAAAAAAAAAGAAAAGAAAAACTGTACTGCAGCACTGTTTATATAATTCTATAGGTTTCACTGATTTAGGATGAATATTCCAAAACACTAAACAAACAAATACAAAATTTCAGACTGGCTTATCATGCTTAAGATCTACCTACTGTTGAATGGAATACTGATTTAATCCAAAAACAATATTTTATAATCTAATATACATACAATGGGTTGATATCTTGTTCCACTGGACACCATGCATTGATTTCACAAACGTATGCAGTTGAGTTTACAAGTGAAGCAACACAGTTCCCTGTCATCACACCTAGATCAAGCCAACAAATCACTCAATATCAATGACCTGTGTACCATTTAATACAAAAATTAAGATTACAATCAATGCTTGATATACTTTAGACTTCATTTTTAAAATTAAGACTATAAACCTTCTCTTCATGCTTCAGTAGGTTTAGGGTTCATAACCTACCACAGGCTAAGGTTTTATTAACATTTTATAAATATTTTCTTGCTAATCATAAATGTTTCTTTAGAAGAATAAACACAATCACCAATAAATAATATATTTATCCTTCAAGACTCTCCAAAATACAGAACTTGGTTGAGGTCGTTTGAAACAGTGGTACATAATTTCTAAAAAGAATACAAAAGTTACTTTTACACATAACATAAAATAAATTAAGTACCATCTATTCATATTAATTCTTATAATATACAAGATATTTTAATGCAAAACTTCCTTCACAAAAATGATTTAATATACGACAACATTAGGCCTATGACTATCTTCTGGTATTCAAACCTTTATACGCATGTTGAATGAAATAGATAACACGGCTATGCAAAGATATAAAAATTGGGTAAATGCTGGATTTAAACTTTTGTTTATAATACAATTACATATTCTGTGAAAATGGGACAACATAAGAACAGAAGAGAAGTGCAGATGAATCCTGAGCCACAGTATCTGTGATTTGTATGGAACAAGGGATAAATTCTGCTGGTACTCATATGACCTACTTTTTGTTGCATATATTACATTCTACTGTCAGAAAGCAAACACATTAGGGTTCATAAAATCTAAATAATTGATATATACTATTAAAATGAACCAATAAATGACCTAACAAATGATCTTGCTTGCAAAAAGATTACAAGAAGAATTTATTCAGCAGGTTCAATGTTAATCATTATTAATCAATCATCCAGCTGTGTGACTCATAAGATAAGTATCCCCAAATGGTGCATTTTATGGTTTATGTGCTATAATCACTACCCACTCCTATTATTATGGAAACATTAGTTCTGAGGTAAGTTTATAGAGTTATTAAATGTTTAGTTTATTTGCCTATTGTGTGTGTGTGTGTGTGTGTGTGTGTGTTTAAATATCTTCTTTATAACCATCAAAACAATGGACCGGATGTTTTTTTCAGTAAACTAATAATAATTACACATAAGCAAAATCTTTTAAGCGCATACAAGTTTCGGCAAATTTTATATATTTTTTTGTTAGCAAGCATTTCACCCATGGTAAAAGTGTGTTTGTGAAATTTGACTTGCAGATCAATAGTTATACTGTATAACAACATAAGTATATAGCTTGTCATAGAGTTTTATTTTTATTATAAATTTGAAATTACCAAAATTAAATCAAAATTTAGTTCAAAAAGTTCAGTTCTGATCATGTTTTTATGTTTGAAGTGTTTGTGTTTCAAATAAAGTGGCATTCATTAGTTACTAGCTGATGTATCCATTCAATGTACAGGGAAACTAGAGACCCATAAGGTACATATTCCAGGTCTGGTGACAATCAGCCAACCAATCCTTCAGTTTTAAGCAGGTTTTTGTCATATAAAAGTGTGAATGAGGCAGAATATGTGGCCTTGGACTTACAAGTGTCTGAATTGTTTCATATCCTCCGACACTGGGTGTATATTAGCTGGAAAAAAATCTTAAAGACACACAGTCTTCTACATGCAAATATTCAGTCCTGTAATATACTGCCTTTGTCACAAAGGTGAAAGAGTAGCTTTTCACAATGTCAATAGTATGGTTACTAGGAAGAGCAAAAGGAACACAAGCTCACAAGATGAAGCCAGCTTTCATATCTGAAGTGCAGGATGCTTGGACAATCATCAGTGACAATCCAATGAATCTGACAGTGATTGAAAGTGGAAGGTGAACATGATGTCCAATATGTCAAAATTTATATGCATAAGTTATGACCAAAACCAAAGGCAATTTACAGGTCATTTTTGTGGTATAAAGTGAACACAATATACATAATAAAGAAATCTGAAATGTCCATATTATAAACCCTTGTCCTTTGGTACCCAAATGATCTATCTCTGGGTTAACAGTGCTTCAGATAAGAAGAAAATAAATTGGCTTTTATCCTGCCATTGCAGTCAGGGCACATGTGTGCAGACCCAGTACACATCCAACACCAGGCCACCCAGGAAACCAACATCCAGGTGACTGTAGGAAGGAGGAATGCAACATGGTGGTTCACTCAAGTCCAAAATCAGGCATCATTGTGAATTTATTGATCAGTTCACAGCAGGACAAGGGCTCTCTACCAGAGACACATGTGAGGACTTATGTTGGCTGATTCAACTCTAATTTAATACCAGGCCACCTGGGAACTGACATACAGGCAGCAGTAGGATGAGGGGTCTCAGCCGGAGGGGTGAACTGCATTTTTGTGGATCATCTCCAGTCCATAACTAGGCAGAGTTGAGTATTTTTTTTCGGTCCACAGTCGGAGGAGGGTTAACATCATGTACACCAACAGAACACAACCACCCTTCTCTCAACTGAATGGGATTGAGCACACACACTTAAGAGGATGCTTCCATGGCCCGCCACCCCAGTAGCTAGAAGCTGGTAAGTGATAAGGTCTCCCGTACTCCACTCAAAGAGGGGAATGTGGTACAGTGAAAGTGCAATGGGTGACCACAAAACCCTATTTTTATAAGCAGGTTGGTCCCAATTTATTCAACCAGGATTAGAGGGATGGACAGCTATTCCAACACTGCTTTACTCATTATAGTTCATGAGTTGGTATGGTCTGGGAAAAATAGTTGTGATGCAAAACACCATGAGGACAAACTTAATAGCAGTCTTATGGAACACCCCACCTCAACAGTGTGCATTATAGACCTGAAAGTCTGTACATTGTGGATTTATGAATTAGTATACCTGGACAGGAACTACTCATTACAGAGCGGGATACAACATGACAAATAGTGACCCTGAAAGGGAAATAAAGAAATATAAACATACTCACTCACAGTTGAACTGAGGTGTGGAGAATGGCAAGATGCAGTATTTCATCTCCAGATGAGGAGGAGAAAGCCACATGATGAAGGAAGTAAAGAAGACTGGACCCAACTGAGACAGGAGTTGAGATCAGAAAAGATTTCTCCAACTTGTCAAGTCAACCCACAAGAGCCACCTTTTGAAGAAGCAACTGGGTGTGCTTGCGAGATGTCTGACAGAATGGAGCTATCATCAGCAAGTCATTCATTTAATGGTGGAACAGTGGACAACAAGAATTAATAAGATGAGCGAGCCTCTGATCATATGATAAAATATATAGGGTGCAGATGCCAGACTAAACACTGAGGTGCAGAACTGATAAACTCTACTCTTGTGGACAAAATGAAGCATTCGTGATGTCCATCTTCATCATCCACAGACCTAGAGTAAATGCCCACCGAAGTGTGAGGAAGGACTCCATGGCGAAATGAAAGTTGATGAAACAGCTGAGACAGTAAATATCTATAACAAGATGCCAGTCCCTGGTCTTCTTGGGAACTACGAACAGCCTGGAATAGAATCCTGGAGATGGATGACAGTTTCTATAGCATCCTCGAGAAGAAGAGTCTAAACTGCTTTAGAGAGATACTGGCAAGAAATAGGATCCATAAGATGGGAGGGGATAAGGGAGGAGAATTGAAAAAATGAAGGGAAAGATTTTCTGACAACACCTGAAGCATCCAGGAATCCAAGGTGAAATTGTTCCATAAATGCACAAACTTGAACAAACATATTCCAACTTTGCCAGATCCTGCCTGATAGTCACTGATGAGTAGTTTAGCAGCAAGCTGCTGAGACCCAGGAAGGAGGACCAGGATAAGGAGCAGAAGGAGAAAGGCAGGAAATGAGAACAGTAGCAGGCAAAGACTGCAATAGGCAAGATACCAAGGACAAAAGGGAGGAGTGTTGACGAACAGTCTCCACCTTGGAGTCTGAGTCGGAAAGATGTCCAAAAACCATTCTGTGTAAAAACAGGGCCTTACAGAAGTTCTGTAAATAAGATGAGGGTAAGTGCATGTTAGTTAACAGCTCATCCTTACCCCAGAGATCCTAACAATAGATGAGGCATGTTTGAAGGGAAAGGCTATTTGCTCAAATTTTGAAATTAAAAAGAGAATACTCCTTCCCTGGTCTTGATATGAAAACTCATGGGTACGATAGGTCTATTAACACCTGCAAATTAAGCTATTTCTCTGAACAAGGAAGCTTATTACCTGGTAATGACACCAAGTAAAGAAACACTTCCAAACATGATCCAAGTGCTGCTACACTTATTAGTAGTATGGAAAAAAAAATTGAATAGCATTGTTAAAGATTGACAAGTTGAATACATATGGGAACAAGTATACTCCAAAAACCTCTTAGGGGAGTGGTGGATAGCCTCAGAGATGGAGGAGAGGTATCTCAGGAGGTTGGAGAGGGACAAATGGAGGTGAGAAAATTACGCTTGGATAAATTTCACAGAGATATCAGGATCAGAACCCTACACCTGGATCAAAGACTAAGGTTTAAGAGTCAAGAAACAGAAGACCCAAATGATGGTATGCCAAAGCGTAATTATCAGAGGTATGAGGGGAGACATGGCATGCTGACCCCAGAACTAACTGTGCAACAAACTGATCAGTATGGACCCTAATATTTGGAGAGGGAGGGAAACCAATTAGGAAGGGGAAGAATGAAATAGGGAGGAGGAGTCATAAGACAAAGGGGACACAGACAAAAAGTATCCAGAAAGGCTGAAGATGGACTGGGAGACATCTACAGGTGGAAGACAGAATTCCACAGCAAAGGAAGAAGGCGGAAAAGAGGCTATTCAAATCGTCATTGTCTTGTCCAGGTTCACCAGGAAAAGGAATATCAGGTTTGGGATCAGGAGACAATACAGGCCATATAACGTACTCTAATTCACGATGTACTAAACTAGACATTTTCAGTTGAAAGTATACAGCCTGAATCCTGAGAAACTGCAGGTTAAAGTGAAGTAGTAGTGATATGAAATTTGGAATTCATAATTCAAATGAGAGTGAAAACAAAATGAACAACCAACAATAACTCAAGTGTAACTGTACAAAAAACAAAATCAGAAACAACCAACTTGTTAAAGAAAATGAAAAAGCAAAATCTAAACCAAATATGAGTGAAATTTGAACATGTCTTCATGCTACAGTGCCAAATGGAGAAGTGAAAACTGGGTTCTAGAATTTAGAGAGCCAGCTGTACCAGGAGGGTGTGTCACACTCCTATTGGTGGAGGGTTGTCACATGCTTATTTGCATGCTATAGCTTAGCTGTATGACATTAACCCTTTCGCTATGAGTATCCTATACTACGCATGACAGAAAGTTTTAGTGTCTTACATTCAAAATGTTATTAAACTACTTTTTATTTATGTTACACCAATTAGTATATCATAAAATCATAGCTAATAATCCATATGTTAATAGTATACAAGTTAAGTTTCTAATTCTACAAGGCAATATTAAAAACAAAAAAAAATCTCAAATTTCCCCTAATGTAACACATGACATTTTCTCCATGCATCTTCTTTTCTCCATTTTATCCACCACCCCTTGAAAAAGTATGAAATTAAACATAAATTACTCTTTATAGAATTGTCACTGCTCAAACAAACTAATTTTTTTATGACCTTCGATTTTGTTTGGTTACAGAGATATGAATAGAAAAATCACACCTCTCCTGCTACGACTACTTGTCACATCTTCTCTTTTAGGCTTTGTCAATAGTTCTCTTTTACCTTTAATTGTATATTACCTATAACCAATAGAAAGTCAAGGTTTTCATCTATCAAATGACATATTCTATAACATTGTGTTCTGAACAGACAAGCATCAATTTCACTCAGAGTACAAGCTTCATTCCTATGGGAAAGTTGATGACTAGCTTGGATGAATTTGTAACGGCTCTTGTCGTATAGTTAAAAAGCCAGAAAAATTGAGTTAGGGGAAATTGTTTGCTTTTTGCATGTTAATAGTCTATGTTCCTTGGTGCATTATTAATTAAATAAAAATCATTTAATGCACTACTACCATTAGTGTTTCTACTGGTTATAAATAATATAGTATTAAACATAAGAGAGAACTATTGCCAATATGTAATAGAGAGGATGTTACAGGTGGTTGGAAGAAGTGGGTCATTAATTTTCTAGTTTATGATTGTAAACAAATAAAATTGAAGGCTATAAAAAGTGGACATTGCCTTAGTAATATCTATATTATAATAACTAGTATACAAATGTCACTATTCTCACACGTGGGGAGATTGAGGATTCTTTTAAATATTCCTTATAAAATTAAGAACTTAAAACTTGTATAATATTAAAATGTGATTTTTAGTTATATTTTGATGCCAATTTTATTTGTATACATTGATTATAAAGTAGTTTAATTAAATTTTGAATGTAACTCTAAAAAAGTTATTACGAGAGTACTCTACCTACCTATAGTAGGAGGGTTAATGAACAAGGTCTTATATTAGAGTTTACAAATGTATCACACTCACCAATATACTTGATGTGATAAATAATTTAATATTTACATATTTACAATAAAATTCTCTCACCTTAAAGCAGTGAAATAGTCTGATTGGGTGGAGAAACAAGTAGGTGCAATTTACATATTTATTTCAACAATAAAAGGATGTTACTTATGTAGGTATGTCTGCAGGAGGTATTTTAAACCACAAACTAAAAAACTCACCATTTCCCAAGAGAAGAGGTGTACCAGCTACACAAGTGTTATTTTTTGGATCACATAAAGCACCAGGTACAGATGGGTCCTAACCAATAGAGAGAAGATATTTCAAGTAAATCCAACACTCATTAGAAGACTTAAGATTTTTTTATTTTTTAGAGAAGGAAACAAAGATCGTAAGTGGTAATTAAATTTTCTGAAAATATTTTTAACACAAATATTCTACTGCTTCAACTAGGAGTTTAAGTGTATAGGACTTTTTTCTCTATACAAGAATCAAAGTATTTAAGAAGAGATTACAAAAGTTACTTATCCCCAAAGTTAGAAGAAAAAAAAAAGACTAAAAACGAAATTGAAATATGTAACTATAAAGTTGTCACTACTCATTTCTTACCTCAGGGCAGTGAAATTGAGTCTGGTTGGGTGTAACAACAACATTGGTAGTGACAAAGAAAGCTCCATTTTCCTGAAATATTATAAGAACTATTGTATTCTATGTAATTAAATTTATGGAAATAAAACATACATACATTTTACATTAAACTGAAGAATGTAAAAAAACAACCTCCTCCAAAAAACATTCAAAGCAGATGATTTGGTCAAATTTCCAAGCTCAAGACAATGACTGATGGTTTCAAGTTAGAAAAGTTAACTAAGAATTATTTTATGTATCATCAAATTCATATGAAAGCTATTGAAATTAAATGCCTTATAGCTCTTTTTTCTCTCTCAGTGAAGTTGAAAAATCAAATATTCGCTGCTTTCATTAGTTTTTACAGGGGTCTTTTTCTGTTATTCATTTAAAATATCAAAGAAATATTAAGTTGTGGTTGAGGTTTGATGCTCTATAGTAGATGGGTAAATTAAATACAAATTTCACAATTAGAAGCTTAAAATCACAAACGTGCTGACTGAAGTGACTATTACTGATAAACTTCGTCAATGCTCCCATCTTAATTGAATATGGTAGAGTTGTTTAAACATTTGTTTAACAACAAGTTAAAGCTTGGAATGGTCTATTCTTTCATTGGGGTGTGTGTGTCTATGAGCCAGACTAGTTTCGGAGAATTCCACTCCTCATCAGTGACCCTGGTCTAAACATTTCTCAAAAAAAAGATACAAAGAACAATATTATCCTCAACCTTGCAGCTGATCCTTTATGCCAAAAGCTAGTCAACATGGAGGACTGTAGTTCTTGATGTTTCAAACACGTAGTCATGAAGATAATAACAAGGTACTTATGGCACCAGTAAGACCATGTCAAGAATAAAGAATACATGTCTTGACAAAAGAAAAAAAAAAAAAAGAGTAGCCAATATTAATCTATAGATTTTTCTCTGGTTGGCTTGTCTTGGATGTACTGATTATTGCAATTACTTACCGAAGAAGGGATGACATAATCCGATACATCCCATACTCTTCTGTAATCATCAAAGTTCTTAATCTTTGGGTTAAACTTGTCATTTGAAAAGTTTGTGTAAGCTACTCCCTTGACCTTGGTGGTGACAGAACTTTCTAGAGTACTGAAATCTTGATAACCTTTCTTGTAGATAACAGCAAAACTACAAAAGTAACACTCAGTGTAAAGATTATATTAACATTAACTGAATTTATTATAAAAAATTAAGTTTCACACATATAAAATATTACTACTCATGAAGAAAATGATTGACTTAACATGAACAAATAAAAGAAATGACAAACATTTCCAAAGAGATATCATGAGAAGTTATATTTAACAAAGTACTGCAATAATAAAATGAAAACTATACAAATTTGTGTACCTTTCCACTACATATACTGACATAAACTTATGTATTCTCTCATTTAACAAACAAAGTCCAGATTTTCAAAAAAAATCATAAAGTTATTTTGCATATATAGGGGGTCTTCATTATACATTGTCACAATATATGTTGTTTCGCACTCATGTCGCTAACTTTTTTTGAGAAACACAATGTAAAGTTTCCCCGCATATATGTCATTCATAGTTTTTGACTCGATTCAGCTTCACTCTTTCAACACAGGCTCGGTCAATTTGATTGACCACGTGACCTCTTTGTACTCATCTAAAGTCTTTATAGATTTGATACTTCCAACTTTCAATATATTATGTACATTTTCATGAAATTTGGCAGTCTTTCAGTTAACATTACAAGTCTTTCACATACAAAAAAATCATATGTTTTGATTGTCAATAACACTTAACCTACTTTTTTCTTGTTTATACTAATGGTGGTAATGCACAAAATAATTACTTAATTAAATAATGCACCAAAAAACATAGAATGACATGCAAGTAGGAAAGCAGACAACCATGGACTTTATTTTAAAAACACCCAAGAAACCCAAAGTAGACCCTTCTTGCACTCAAGTGAAGGAAAATCCTGAGCCTGCATCTTCTACAGAGATAAAGACAGCAGATGTCAGTGATGTTAATAACCTTACACCTACATCTCCATTCTCATTCCCTGCCTAATCCTCTCACAACACCTTCTTCAATCAAGCACAATGCATAGTCCCCAGGATAAGAACATAAAAATTAAAGGTTATGGTAAAACATATTTAAAATGCTGTTTAATAGTCATTTTTTACACTAAAAATGGTTTTCAGTTTGAGTTATTGCTCAAAAAATGTCAAAAGTGTGTTTTATAGTAAAAAGAAAAAGGTTTTAAAAGGCTGCTTCAAAATGCTCATAAAAATTGTTTCCAGTGAAGTGTTTGGTAAATATAAATGCTGTTTGAATGTTCTTGAACTCAGTTATAAATGTGTACATTATGTATTGTATAGTATAGGTACTGTACATGTACAGTACATATTTTGGTTGCTAGGTATAAGAACAACATTTTCTTAAGATATAGACCCTATTCAATACCATATTTAATTATTACTTATAGAAGAAATTGCTCCACCTTGCGTCACACAGACAATATTTACGCTATTACGGTCCCTCTTCCCTAATTCCCATTATTCGTATGGTGAAACATTTGCCATTATACATAGTTTGTTACAAGTCACAACTTTCCAGTCACTAACTCCAACGTATAACGAGGACTCCCTGTATCATATAAAATGTTTACACTAGTTACAAAGAAATGTGTACTTTCTTTGAAATAAATATTAATCTGTATTTACAAGACAAGAGGGCAGCAATATTCTTCACCCTGATTACTCTAAGGGAAATATATTGGAATAAATCATAAATATTAATATGTTGGTTGTAAGTAGAAAGAAAGAAAGCCACACAAGATTTTAACCAAGGTTTTAAAGGATGTCAAAGATAACATATGTAAGCCTCTCTCTTTTATTTCTGAAGGTCAACAGTATGTGGGCAGGTCCCTGAAGATGAGAGAGCTTCTTATGTTACTTCAATTTTTAAATGGGGTGATAGTAGTTGTCCTGGAAACTAAGGTAGAGATTCCAATAAAAGATACTTTGCAATACCCTCTAACAAAGTATGGTATAAATAGTCCTTGAAACTTGCAACAAAGTACAGCAAGTCTGTCATAAAAGCCATGATATTTGTATGATAAATATCAAGTATAACTGCAGAACAGAATTCCACCATAAGGGGAAAAAAAACAACTCTTAAAAATTTTCCTTTACTTTCTTCATTTGTCTTGCAAAAAACTTCAAAGATTAATATGTTATAAAATAAAACTTATGATAAATAGTTAATGATACAAACACCATATCTTCCCTAATTTCAGATGTCAGTTATGACTGAATTGATGTAACTGGTGACCCTAGAAGTTGGGAATCTGCTTTTCCCAATTAACATTTAAGAATAACAAGGGATCTTTGATCCATCTAGGCTACTCCAGCTACTAAACTGATGTTATATAACTAAAATGCAGCCCTTATCATTTAAGTATTCATCAACCTTCTCTTAAACTGCATTAAATTTACTGCTTCAATCAGATTTAAAGACAACTCATTCCAAAGGCCAACTACCCTGTTAGAAAAATAAAGCTAACATATACAGTGCTTAAGATCAAGAAAAAGTATAAATGGATAACATTACAAATCTAATTTCCACTTCTAGGTTCTAATGTGTATTTTAGTATTTTGCATGAACCATTGAAATATTGATAATACTTATATTAGCTTTTACAATGTACAAGTTTAAGTAATAAAACATTTTGGTCAAAATATCCTTCCAAACCAGAAATAACACATAATCTGTCAAATCATCTGTAGTTTTGTTTTGGATCATTGGGTGTTTTAGTATTGTAGGGAACAGTGAGTTTATTACAAACTTACAGTATTCAAAAAAAAAAAAAGACGTGAATATAGTTGCTATCCTTCACTTAGCACTGAAAAATTTTAAAAACAATTAAAACGAAATTTTCCATAGTTTGATATATTTTATAAACTTCTTCATAAAGAGTAAACAAGAAATATGCTTGATGCCAAAGTTTGGAGTCATTACAATATTTTTCTAACATTAAACAATACATCTTTTCTTTATTTTTAAGATTACCATTTGATTTTGACTTTTTGTGAAAGTAGAATATCATATGAGCAGAATGTGACAAGGTTTATACCTCAGGTTTAACTTTGAAAGCTGTCTATAATTTTATGATTTAACTAAAGATATTTAATCAATATAATAACCTAATGTAAGTTGTTCATTTTCATCTTAGTGAGGATGCTTGCTTTTCACCTAGCTCATGCATTAAGCCAGCCTTTCTTTAAAATGGATGATAAAATTTGATTAATGTACTCATGATGACATTTCTTTTTTCTGTGGACAAGGACATAAATAATGAAATAAAATTACATTCACCTGAGGAAAAACTATCAGAAACATTATATACACCTATTGTAAAGTTGCATTTCCTCATGAATTGTTGTTGTTCTTTATTTAATCCATGTAATATGTTCACTTCCATTAGTTGTAATGAAAGAAATGTAGATGGGCCATGCATTCCCATTCAGGAAAATCAATTAAAAAGATGTGTCAGGAACTTACTTTTAGTAGTATATACAGCAATGTAAATATATGGGTGTGTTGGGTTAAAGATTCTTTTACAGTAGATGTCTGACTTGTTGGTGATAAATTCAACAATAAACAAACAGCACGCACTCCACTTGTTTTTGAAATAATGTATAAATTCAAAACAAGTTACAAAAATTCTTTACAGTATGGAGATCATAGTTGTGTCTTACACTATACAGTTCTCTTCTTCTTGTCAAAAGTCCACTTAGGCCAATTCAACTAGAAGACTAGCCAAACTATTTCTTTCTACATTTTTATCACAATAGTATCCATGTATAATTCACTTGCATTGTCGCGTGAGTTACCTCAGTTGTATCTTGGAGCTTCCAATAATTGTCTGCCTTTCATCACAGTCTATAGAGGTAGGTTCAATTAGTTTAGAACACCCTCTGACAAAACAAATTATTCTCCCTATCTCTTTCAAACCATTAATCTCACTTCCACAACAGTTAACTTTACGTTTCCTAACTTTTCTCTGACCAAACTTCTCATTCATGTGACTACTTTTACTCTCTCCCTGCTTGTCTGGTCACAGCTGTTTATATGTCTATCACTTAGACTTTCTAGAAATCTCCATAGCCTCAACATCAATGGATTGCAAACATAACATTTGACAGCCTCGTCATCAATGAATTACCATCACAAAACAAATTAATAATACTACCTACACTAAATATAAATAAATAAAAACTCTATAAGCCAAGCGCTTTTGAAAGGTGGACCTTTTGAAAGTGCTCGGGTTATAGGGTTTTATTCATTTCTATCAAGACTTCTTGAACCTACGCATTTTTCTAACACCATAAACCTACACTAAATAGTCTTGTATATCTGACAAGATGAAATTCCTCAAGCAAAGTTAAATTCCTTGGGAATGCAGGAATGTAATATCTCAATCCCTGGTGGACTTGATGTCTTAATTTTGAGGACTTCATAAATGAAAATTAACATGGATTCATAAAAGGGAAGTATTTCCTGACTAATTTCTTAACTTTTTGGGGGATGTTACATGTAATATGGTTGATGGACAATGCACAAACTTAGTATACTTAGATTTCTATAAAGTTTTTGATAATGTGCTACACAAAAAATTAGCAAAGAAAATTACCATAGTAAGAGCTGGGGAAATACTAGTAAATTGAATTGTTTTCTTCTACAGAACAGTACATGTGTTTGCTACCATCCTTAGTTAATATCAAAATTTTTCAAATTTTCTGTATTTTCAGTTAATTCTGTTTGAACAAAGAATGTTGTCCAGGTAAGCAGTTTAAATTTTGTTTATTCTAGCTTTGCACAGGACTTTGTTCACTAATTGACCATTAACTGCATTATTTTGCAAGAAAAATAGCTTGTGATGTCTCAGGGTAGGAGGTTGTATTTTCTATCAGTGAATTGGGTACTGGCCTTGGGCTATCCCATTCTTGCACTTGCAGTGCAAAAAGGTTATATGCAAGAATAGTATTCTGTGAGCAACCTGGATTTGTTTTTATTATTGTATTTTTAAAGGCCAGGTTTCTCCTGTTAAGCAGAATTTCACAGATTTTGCTGAGGCTTAAATTTAATAAGACCTATTTTTTGCTGTAACTCTGTAAAAGCACATCTTAACACTTTTTAAGGCAAGTTGTTTCACTTTACTTTAGCTTTAGGGGTTGTTTTTATTTAACATTTTCACTCTTTCTTTAGTTTACAAGGAGAGGGATGATTAAACTAGACTGGTGAGAGGAAATCAAAGTTATTGTTTTTTTACATCTCTCTCTTCAATGCAAAACACCTACAGCATACATTGGCCTTTCTTTTGTATAAATGTATTATATATTTTGTGAATTAATGTTGTCCTGCTGTACATCTTGTGTCTTACCTTTTTGCTGATGACTTCAGTCTCCTGCATTGTATCTTTCAAATTTATTTGTGAGCCCTAATTGACTGTCCTGTGTGAAATCCAAGTCCCACAGTATACCACAGTAAGATAGCTGGATGAGAGAAAGCAAAAGGTTTCAATAGTGGAGTTTTTCAGGGGTCAGTGCTTGGGCCTTTGCTTTTATATCATTTATATTAATATTTGATAGGTGCATAAGTAGTTAATTAGTAAAGATTGCAGATGACATTAAATTATTAAGTATTTCTACCTGTACTGAAGATGCTGAGCTACTAGAGAATGAGCTAGATCAATTAGTACATTGGACAAATATTTGGCAAATAACTTTTAATTCTAGTAAGTGCATAGTAGTGCATTTGGGTTACTACAATTTTAATACTGTGTGCAGTTTTGGTTTCCTTATCTAAGAAAGAATATTGATTTTCCTGGAAAGGATTCAGGGATGCATGGTTTATCCTACAGAGAGAGTAAGATCTCTTAACTTATTTTCCATTAAGAATTAAAAGGAGAGTAAGAGATGACTTTATTCACGTTTACCAGATTATCTTACGTGATTGATGGGATTAAGACCTCTAGTTTCTTTGTGTTGAATTCTGATGATAACAGAACAAGATATCACAAGTTTAAAATCTGGGAAACATAGGCTAGGTTTCAGTTAAAACAATTTTATGTTTCTATAGAGTGATTAACTAATGGAATAAGTTGTTGTTGATAGCAGTGGAAACCAATACTTTACAAGAGTTCAACAAGAGAATTGATGAATTCCTGAAAAACCAAAGAGTGGTTATAAATGTTTACTTTTTGTCTACATTCGGTGTGGCTAGAAGAATTAAATGTTCCCTTGTTGTAGACATGTTGTTTATAACAAGGAATATTGAATGCATTCTAGTTTAGTTGTTCAAACGTTTTTTACGGTTCTGCCCAATTAAAACACTAATTATTTAAGTTAATTAAAAAAGTAACAACCTTATTTATTCTAAAAAAAAATAAAAAATGATGGAAGGTCATCTCGTCCTTCAAGTTCACCTTTCCTTCCAACTGATGATAACATTTAACCAAAGCATCCAACAGTAAACTAAATGAAAACCTTTACATCCATATTCTAAACTCACTGAAGTCTCTCATGATTAAAAAATCATTTCCAACTTCATGACCAGACAAACAGCTGTGTGAAGAACAAATCTAAATCATTGTTTCAGGGTTTAAAACCTAATACCCTTAATGTTCAAATTTATACTTAAACTTTTTCACTCCACAAAAACTCATCAAAAGATTGAAAAAAAAATCCAAAACTTTCGGTCTGTATTTGTAGCTTAATTACAGCTAAGTACCATTCTAATTATCCATTTTTCCATTCTTTTCGGCATGTTTAGACTAGATTAAAATTAGATTAAAAGAACAAACAGAGCATATAAACCCAGTGATTTCTGAATAACCTTATTGAAGGTTACTTTAACATTCTTTATGTTAATTTCAAAATTTCTATAATAAACAAATTTCAAAACTCAATTGACTGTTTTGAACAATGTTAGACATTCAATAACAGTCTTCCATGAATCATGGAATGACCCCACAGTTGTGTCTGTAAGCTATATATGGCAACATGATGAAACGGTTTTAGTGCATAAGCCTAAAACCTTATTAAATGTACACACATGTAAAGATATGCATACATGCTGAAGGAAACAAACAAACAACAATTTCACAAGCAAGACAAAATGTGCATATTCTGCTAAATGTTGGTTTCTCAATTTTTTTTGTATATAAATACAAAAAAATGTATCTACATTCTGTAAACATGCATCACCTGGCTCATCCACTATACTAAATGTGTTTATTTTCAATCTATATCAAGCCTGTGTGCTTCACTATAAAAGACATTGCTTTACTAGCTGCCATATTACTAGCAATACTACACATGATTAGATAGTAGAAACTACCCAATTTACAAAAGGTAAATTGGAAAATTTATTACCACTCAAAAGAAAAATGGATCAAACTGAGTTGATATATAAAATGTTTTAGATGAACAAAAATATACAAGATCTTTAAAATGGAAAAACTTCATGTGTATGTAGACAATTAGGTAAGAGTTCCATATGGCACCCCCACCCAAAAATTGTAGAATTGCCTGGATAAAAAAGATTCTGAAAAGTGTTTAT